CTCCTAGTGCTCCTAATGGTATTACAACAATCCATGGGGCCTAAACGAAAACAACCAATTAGAGCCAAGAAAGATTCATTTATCATTTATGGTTTGTCAAATGCTGATAATTTAGATTTGTGGTTTAAAGATAGTTGATCATTGAGTTTCACTCCCAAAGCATCGGTTTATTTAACAACATGCAACCTAAACTTGAAAATGAAATTGAATTTTTGCAACTTTTGGATTCCAACTTGATTTGAGCTCATTTTACTGAAAATAAAATTGCAATAGCCTTTTCATGATACTTTTCACAACAGTCAACATTTATATGGCTGGCCTTCTTGCAAAAGACCTATGAGAATTTCATAGGAGTTTTTATTTTGGTAGTAATTATGCGTCTTCAAATATAAAAATGAAAATTCTATTAAAATATTTGTATTCTGTCACCCATGACAAGGAGTTGTATGAACTGAAATTCAGTAAAACTAACAAAATTTTGTAAATTAACAAACAATCTTGGTAAAAAACAATTTTAATTGACACTGACTTCATTGGTACATTAAGTATTTTGTATTTTGATGTTTCCTGTTGCAGGCTGGGTTTGGTTGGTTGTCATGAGTAAATCTGATGTGTTTATATGTGTGTGTGTGTGTGTGTGTTTTCCAGCTGACCCGTGTCCTGCTGACCTGCCCAACTACACTGTTGCCATTTGGGTGGGAGTGATATTGCTGGTGCTTATCGTGGTGGTGGTGGTGGTCTACCTGCTGAGCCGCAGGAAGAGGGCTGATGGCTACCAGTCTCTGTGAGGGAGGCTGGGCAGAAGTCAATCAGGGGTCACTCCCATTATAAACAAGGGTCAGTGAGGCTGTGATCTTTCTCAGGAGCTAAAGGGAACTTCAACTAAATGCTAACCTGCAATTTTTCTGTCCTTTTGTCCGTGGTTTACCTAATTTACTGTATTAACAGTTGTTTTAATTAGGGTCCTATGTATGGAGGCTTTAGTGTGACACTAGAGTAATTGTACAACTGAAAAGTGTTTGATCATAATCAATTAATAAATTGATCTATTTAAATGCTATTATAAAATGATTAAACAAATTAGCACAACAATTAGAAGTTGCATTGATAAATCTAGAGTAAAAAAATAAATATATGTTAATTAAATATGGTTTAAGCAAATGGAAAAAAATGTAACATGAACAAATGAACACAAACATGAACGCAATTAATGAAAAAAGAAATTATTAATTCATTATTTATAGAGAGTGAGGAAATTCTAATTTTTGTCGAGTTTAATAATCCATCACTTAAATACTAAATTAATTAATCATTTTATAATCCCCTTTGTTTTATTATTCCTGTGGCATACTCCAATTTAAAACAACATTTTTTATTTTCAACATGCCAATAGCCAGTCATTATATGTGAGAGTTTGACCCCAGAAATGTATTCTCATCAGGGTGGACTGTGAAATACCATCTCTGTGCTGAGACACTAAATATTATGATGCTAATAATGACGGATTATACAAACTGACATCTTCAGAGATAAAACTGACCAAAATATTTCATTAGAATCAGTTGAGGTTATTTTTTCCCATGGACAGACAGTTTTAATACCATGATAATTGTGTCATTTTGACAAGAGGCTAACATTGGCTCCTTTATCAGTCTAACCCCGCATCATACATTACAGAGAGCAGTGGAATCACAACGTAAAATCAAGTGAAGTCAGATTTTAACAACTTTTTCATCTAAATTATATACAGCTTGTCTCAGCAAATACACAATAAATTTCATTTAAAGTTTTCTTCATTGTATTGGGATGATGTGTTTACATGTTTTTTTATTTCTTTGTTTTTTAATGAATCAGATCTTGTGTATTCATTTATACAGGAATTTAAAAAGAAGGGAAGTTATCCAGTTACTAACTTTACAGGTGATTAGAGTGTGTTTGCATTATGAATCAGCAGAAAGGGAAAATTCGCATGATGTTTGTCAGGAATTATTTCTCCCTGGTCAACAATACTTGCACTGATTGCTGTCTTTATCATACTATATGTAGCCAATGCTGTGTTTTGGTAGAAATTTAGGGAGGGGCCGTCTATGTGGGTCAGTAATGATTCTAGTCTGATCCTGATTACATTTGTAATGGAGTCCATCTCTCCTACACCGCCAGGTCTTCTCTAATAAAATGAATAGTCTGACATTTTTGGAAAAACGCTGAGCCACTTTCTAGCTGTTTTCCCTGTTTCCAGTGTTTATGCTAAGTTAAGCCAACTGTCTCCTGGCTTTAGCTGCATTTATAAAATTAAAGTGGTCTCATCTAAAGCAAACAAATTTCCTAAAATGTCAAACTGGTCCTTTAAATATGCTGACAGGCTGACTGTGCCGTGCCTTAAAACTGTAGTCAGTAATTTAAAATAACTTTTTGTCACATTTGCTGAAACTTAAACTACACTAAACACTCATGGCATTTGCAAGATTCTTGCAAATGCCATTAGAAGCACCAGGAGGACTTGCAGAGGACTTGCAAGGTCTGTACGAAAACAACCAATCAGAGCCAAGAAAGATGGTTGACTGTTGAGTCTCATGTCATCAAATATTGATGCTGGGAATGAGACTCAACGATCAATTGTTTTCAAGCCAGCGTATTTCCATCTTTCTCTGCTCTGGTTGCTTTCGTTCAGTCCCGGTAGGCTCTAGCAAAGACCATTAGGAGCACTAGGAAGAGCCAGAGGAACCAGATTTTTTCACAGATTAAATGTCTCATTTACTACAATCAGGATATAGTGAACGCTTCAGAACATATGACAAAAAGTTATTTAGACAGTAGCTGTTCTGGACAAGCCAAACCTCTTAGTGCTCAGTAGCTGTAGAGGTCGGACTTGTTGAATCGATGAAGGATCAGACCCGTTGGTCATGGCTACAGTTCCAGGTTTCGTCCATCAGGTGATGCTGTGAAGTTAAAAATGGACAGAAATGAGGGACCTTACTGTATGTACAGTTATCCACAGTGTGTGTGAGCACTTTTACCTGTTGTTAACTTCTTGTGCCAATAAAGAATGATGTATTTCTAAATGTGTCCGTCTATGTGTGATCCTCTAATCGGAAGGTTGTTGGCTCCGCCTGTCACATGTCGAAGTATCGTTGAGCAAGATACTGAACCCCAAATTGGACTGTGCATCGGTGTGTGAATGTGTATGAATGTGTTAGTTTCTGTTCGATTTGCCATCGCTGAGTGAAGTCAGTCTGTGAAAGGGTGAATGTGGCACGTAAAAAGCGCTTTGAGTGGTCGGAAGACTAGAAAGGCGCTATATAAGGTCCATTTACAATTTGCCATATGTCTATGGTACTCAATCTAAATATTTAATTTCATATGTAATTTGTATTTACATTTACCTTACTTTATACTTGGACTACACTACATTACTGCAGGGAATATAAATGTGTCAGTAACACAGCAGTTTCAGTTCCAATGAGTGTTTGTAGATTAAGATTTAACTTACATATTATTATAATATATGTACAGCATATGCCACAGGTTAAACTCCCCAATACTACGAAGAGTGCAGTATACAGTTCAGTACATGTGTGGCTTTTATTTGTCTAAATGTGTCACTGAGAAAGAAATGATCACATGTGGGTGAAATGGGCACCAGCACAGCAAACACTTGATCACCACAAGTCATGAACTTTGAACCGGACTCAATCAGGAGTTGATGGCCCAAGAGGACATGGCTTCGCCTGTGGGCCAAATCTGGCTCTCCAAAACCAATATTTGTCCTCCTGACGAAAGCTTTGATGTCAGCTTTCCCTTTAATGGCTTACACCCAAACCTTTACACCATTTTTCATACATTTCGAACCAACTGCAAGCATGTGCAGGGGCATATCCATTTAGGCTGCCTGGGCTATCTGCCCGAAAATAGGTGGGACCTTAGTTGGAAACTAACTGATGGCTAAACTAAACTTTTCTAAAATGTTTTAAAAGTTTATAAAAGTGTATAACCAGCCAACACAAAATGTCCTGAATGGTTGACAGTTGATATAAAGTTTTGTACAATTTTGTCCATATAATATTTTCTCCTCACATTTCTGAATGTGCATTATTTATTTTGTATATAGCCTGCTTTTGGGGGTAGATTTTTTTTTTGAGGATTTGAAAGAAAAAAGTCTGGAAGTTGAACAGTATGTTAGAATTGTGTGGCTACTCTTTTGTCTTGAGATTGGTAGGACTATTTATCTTTCAATAAAATAATTTTTTGGGGGGGTTTTATTGCCTTTAATCAATAGTGACTGGAAGGAGTTGGAACTGGAGTTAAAAAGCACCGAGATCTTAACAGTGGATGGTAACAACGTGGCTTCAGACTGGATAAAC